ATAGATGACTGTATTATTTTTAAGTATTTCAAAATCAGAGGTTTTAATTTGAATTGCTCTAACTAAAAATTTATTATTGATTCCAACCCAGAAGCCTGGCTTTGTTTTCTTTGTAAGAACAACATTTTGACCCCCTAGAACGAATTTATTACCAACCTTTTTTGACTCACATATGGGCTCATATTTGTCAACAATTTTGAAATTATCATAATCTGGTCAAATAAACTTTATCCTTATAAGAAACTTATCATTATCTATTGTATTTAAAATTTTCTTGGCATGTTCTTTGGTCATTTCGGCTTCATATATTTTATCTTCCTCAATTGTTGCAAACCAGATCAAAAATGTATATTCAGCACCATCTACTTTAAACATATCTTTTGCTGTCTGAATTCCTTTTTGCCATACTTTTCGGTGCTCTTCATTATTTGGAAATGAAACCGGCCAAGGCATTTTTTTATCTAGATCCTTTGAATCTTCTTCTAGTTAAAAAACTTGAGGTTTCTTTTGCGATTTGCTAGAATACTTTTCCATTAAATCAAACTATTCTGCATCTGTCTTTGGAACCTTTTTACTAATAATACTTGGGTTGTTTTTTATCTCAGGATTCACTAGCCAGTTGGCCAAATCCTCTATAGATAAATGAGTAGTTTCCTTTTCACGAACATGAACTATAGGAGATAGGGAGCTAGGTACTGGTGTTTGAGATCTGGATACATTAAGATTAGATGGCTGAACTAGATTAGATATTTGGGGTTGCTTATACTTAAACTTTCTGTTAAGATGATTTGTTAAATCACGAGTCTTTTTAAAGTTGTTCTTTCCATATCAAGAGCATTGAAGTACCATTTTTGATAGTAAGTGAAACAATTTAGCTGTTTGTATTAATAGTACAAAAACTTTTGTTCAAAAAATAATTAATTATTTCTCTCTTGATCTGTCAATCGATAGGGATAGCCTAACCTGATAGCATATTTCATTAGATTTCTTTTTTTTCGAATTTATGAGAAAAAAAGAGTTGTAGCAAGCCGACTAGCTCTGAACCTGGCCTTTGCAGAAAACATGCTAATGGTTACTATATAACCCAATATATTAATAGGCTTCAGGATAGAGCAACTGCCTTCTCATAATTTTATCCTGTTTTTCAGAGTAAAAAATAGGTGAAAATTTTTTAACTAGAGTTATATACAAAAAATTTACATCTAGTCCGAACAATTTACACCTAATCTATTTTTTTTTATTTGCCTCTTGCTAACAAATTAATGTTCTTAAGGTTAACAAGGCTTTAAATATACAAGAAAACAAATTTATGTTCTTAAAGTTAATAAAGCTTTAGATAAATAAGAAAATATATTACTTTCCCTTAAGTTAAGAAGACTTCAGATAAGCAAGAAAACA